CGACGTCAGTCACATGATAAACGAAAGCGGAACAGTGCGCCCAGGCTCTGTTTGCTCTAAGGCAATTCCTACTTAGCTTTCTTTGAGGCAAACTTGCTAATCCTCTACTCGCCTCTTACTTCTAACTGAAAGGTATTCCAACATTTATATATGAAGTATATTCACCCTATTTCGTTTAAGGTGATAAGTCCGGCATTTACCTAACTTTGGCCAGTCACCTTTATATAGGGAAATCTTTGGTTCTGCATTTATCAACATAGTTTACTGCTAGATTTGACGTTGGAAGAATTCATTAGGCTACTACAGCAATTCAGAAGCCTTCAGTTTTACCGCTGCACTCGTGCTACATGGTGAAGAGTAGTTGTCAAATTCCTAAACCAGCTAAATGGCAGAGGAATATGCAGTATGGGAGAGGATGGAAGGCAACAGGATTCCCCTTTCACTTATTATATACTCGGGCGAAACCCGAATCCTTCAAACTTAAACTTAAATGAAAATGGTGGCTTAGGAATAGGAAAATACGAGTTCATTGGTAAAATGTATCCCAAAACTACATAATGGTGGTCTCTATAGCCTCAGCGATCGCATGAGTCTGGACTCAGCAAAGTTTATAATTAGTAGGTCTCGAGGCTATCATTAGATCTTGTATAGGAGCTGTGGTAACCCTGGCTCGCATAGATGGATGAATGGTTGATAGCCCTATTTTCCCCCAAAACTGTATTTCACTCTGGATGAGACTATCCTTTAGGAGACAAGGCTAAGTGAAATTTGACGTTATCATTCAGGATCTACTGATAGTCTCGAAGCCTACTAATTAAAAATATGGCAAAATGAAAGTTTGGCATATTGATGGTTCCACTAAAGGTGTGACGTTAAAGAGTCCGGGAAGGTCACGATCTCCCTGCGACCCAATGGTGCCTACGGCAGTGTGGTGCTGTTATAGGGTCGAAAATATGCAATGTACCTTTGGTTCGCTTCCAATTGTGGTTGCTGGTAACGTTGAAACTGCAGTACGCTCCAGAAGAGATTATCTTTTCGAGGGCTAAGTGAAATTCGTTGGCATCGTGAGGCCTACTCCTGTCATTGGAGACAGGTTAAACTATCGGCCTCAATTATGGTAGCTTCAGCTTTTATTCATTTGATCGTCATCAAAGTGGCTTTAGGGGAGCACAATCTAAGTTGGCTTACTGTGTATTAGCTAAATGGGATGGTGTTCCATTGATGCCAATTATCAGACTTTGTTGCAATTAATCCGCTCGATTGTTGGGATTAATGAGCTTGCTAGCGTAAAACTATTAGTCAGGCACGAATGCGTTGTTATCTGTAAGAATGGTTGAGTTTATAAAAAGAAACAGATATGAGATTCTAGATTAACATGGATGCAAAAGCAACACCTGCAAAGACTGAAACTTAGGCTTTGGGGTTTTATGATAACAAAGTTAACCACTATCTATTTGTTTGTACTATTATCCTGGATAGGCGTCTAAGGGGGGGCAAATAATGCTTTTGTACAAGAATAAATCATAAAGTTTATTTACTTAACAATGTATATGCTTTTCCAAGTCCGTAGGTTATGATGACTTAATTTAGTGTTGGCGTTCCTCCAGGATTGATTTGGTATACAAGCATAGTATAAAGCCGGTGGCTGTATTTGATTAAAATTAACCGATTTAACGGTTTTTTGAAATAGTCTCCTCATCTGCTTCTTGGTTTCTGAATCATTAAATTTTTTGCATTCTTCACTGCTCTCTTAGAAATTATGCTTGGGCTCAAGTTTGAACTGTAAACGGATTCTTTGACCCATAAAATAACTATAGTCATTAAATTATGTGCTTGTTTTATACGGGTTAATCTAAGAGAGGTATTCACGCTTCAGTTCCATCATAGCTTGCTCTGTTTAATAGTTTATGATTTTTGATATTTCATATTCAGAGCTAAAATTTCCTGTGAACATGCCCCCATTTTCATAGTTTTTCCTTACACTGTTTCTATTTTCTATGGGAATCGAGTTATATATATATATATATATATATATGATTTTCATTCATCACACATTATTACATCCTACATTCCCTCAGAATTTGATAAATTTATATGGAACCATATTTTTGTCCTTGAGTAAATGCATTTTTATATACGCTTACATCCCACTCGCTTTATCCCCTTTGCAATCGATTGGAATCTGTTTTTTAATAAAAATGCTTGCTCAATTAGTCTTCCGATTGATAATTTGAGATATATTCTTTTTCAATTTACATTTAATTTTAAATTCCCCTATTAATTTATGTGTGGTACTCCATGCATAACTTTCATTTATTTATATTTTTGGTCATGCTACTAAAGATAATGAGTAGGCATTTATTGTTAAGCTGAAATCCTCCACTATTTCTTTATTTTATTATATCCTTTTCTTAGGTTCATTTCAAAGTTAGATTTAATGCCAAAGATTTCCGACCTGAAGACATTAATGTGACAACAATGGCAAACAGACTGACTGTTAATGCAAATAGATCTCATCAAACTGAGGGCTCTTCTTCTTCACGGGAATTCTGTCGCACTATTGATTTGCCTAGATCTATTGATCATGAAAAGTTCCAATGTATGCTTACGGAGGTTAGTCCTTATTTGCTTTTTATGTCACATCATATTAGAATTAGCTTTTTTTACTGAGTGTTTGAAAATATTTCAGATAAAGAAAACGAAAAATGGGAACCCAAATAAAGTTCAAATTTGCTATTCCTTCTTCCTCTGTTAGTTATGTCCTTAAGACAGCAAGTGAATCCATTCTTCTTATAATCATAATTAGGATGAAAACCTTATATACATTGGCTTAGCGCACAGAACGTGATCCAAAATTTTAATATTTTTCTATTCACTGATATGGACCAATGCACAAGCTTTTCACAAAGTAGTAGTCATTTACATGGGACGGCTAACTTGACAACAATAAGCGTGGAGTACAGTAGTTCGAAAAGGAAATCCCTGGAGAGTTTGCTAAACAAAGTATTATGCCAAGTAGACTGTGATCAATAATCAGATGGCTTTTGTTGACCTATTTTTTTACTGGGAGGTCGACAGTCTAGGAGATTTAATGACATATTTCGCCGGGAGACTCAGTGATTGTCCTTAAGCCACCTAAGTTGAACCTTTATAAGCCTGTTTTGTACCCTTGCATTATTTTTCGCATTAATTGATAAGTCTCTTAGGCCCGACACTGATATAAGGTTGGTTTTCATAAAATATGGCTTAACTATATAATTTATTTAAAAAA